CTCACACTTGATGGTTTCCTTCTCCAAATACAGAAAAGACCAACCCTCATCTCTACCACCCTGTACTCTATCCTGGTCAGTAATATCATCAACTAAATGTAAAGGAAGCCTAGAGCCTACCTCATTATCTCAACCCACCCCACCGCACAATATTACTACTGATTCTACCTCATTAATCTCACTTGAATCTGCCTCATTTCTTTGATCCTCCTTGCCCTGTCCCTCACTACCTGCCTCATTTCTCTCCCCTGGACTATTAAAATAGCACCCAGGTGGGTCATTCCAGTCCAGCTCATATTCTCTCTCTCTCTCTCTCTCTCTCTCTCTCTCTCTCTCTAGTATATCTACAAGGGGAATCACTATAAAATGTAAACTTTAAAATGTCATGGTCTGCTGAAAGTTCTCTGGCAGTTCCTCAGCACCTTCAGGGTACCTACTACTCCAAACCCCTAGCAAGTCATTCGTGCTCTGGCTCTTCTCTTCCCACCCAGCCTCCCCTGCCAGGTGGCCCCAGGCTTCCTCATACCCTGGGTGCTCCACACTTTGCACATGGCTTCCATGGGAAACTCAATGACTTCCTTCAAGGCTGCCTATTTTGTGAAGCCTGGCAGGCAGTAGGATCTTAGCACGTATGTGTTAGATAGATGCATGAGGCCTTCCCTAAAGCTTCCCCCATCACCCAGGAGAGTCTGGTTTTTCTTTACTTGTGCTTTCTAGAAGTCTGTGATTCTCTTTATGGAAGTGCTTGCTTGATTGTATAATAAAGGTCTGGCTCACTCCCACCCCCAAGGATGTCCTTGTGAACCAAGGACACACAGTCTTCCTTGCCTTTGATTTCCTGGCACATGAATGCCTGCTCTATGGCTGGAGCCTAATAAGATTTTGTGTGTCACTTACCATTTTTGGTTGTGGTTATTTGTTTATGTGGTCATGTCTTCCTTTGGACACTTTGAAAGCAGAAACATAGCTATCCTTCTCTATATATCTAGTGCCTTAATTAGAATAAGTGGTTGCTGGATAGTTGCTGGGTTGACAAATAAAGGAAGAATTGAATGCATCAATGTCCTATTTGGGTTACAAAGTTCAGGATGAAGTGCTAAATGAATGGTACAGACAATAAATGCTTTGGGGGATTTGAGAAGGGTTAATAATCCATGCAGCTGGAGCAGTTCAGTCTTGCTGGGGTTCAGGTAGGAGTTGGCCATGACAATAGGATGCTCTTTAGGTAGCATTTGGATATGGATACAGAAAAGCTCAGAACATTCCAGGAGGAAGATACACATAGAGAATAAAAGCACAAGGCAAAGTGACATGCCCTCTTGGATATTCAGTGAGGATCACCTAGATGCAGCTAAGTAGCCATAGAATTTAGTGGAATGTGAGCCTGGAAAGTCATGTTGGGGCCAGACTGTGGAAGGTCTAGGAGCCAGGATGGAGATCTGTAGTGGGGAGTAGCTACATTGGTGTGAGTATAACTGAGGCAGAGAAAAGTTCTGGGAATTCAGGAGAAAAGGAGGGTGGTGGCAGAGGGAACAGAAAATGGGCAGTGGATGGGAAGTAGGTATCCTAGCAGTCCTCAGTGACTGAGCAGATGGAATAACCAAAGGGATGGGGAGAGTGTAAGACAGCTCTGTCAGGAATTTGCATATAACAACTGTGCTATTAATCGAAGCTGGGAACTAAGAAGGAGCCCCAATTCTATGAAAAGATAATGGGTTATATTTGGAAGGCAGAATTTGGAAAGCGGTCCTATGGGACATTTCCCAGTAGCAGCCAGAAATAAGAGTCTAAGAAGTGGGTAAGAAATCGGGCCTGGAGGTAGGGATTCTGGCATTACCTGCTTGAAGCTAATAGTTAAAAATTAGAAAGTTTCTTAAGAGAGAAAGTAAACAATGAAGAGCGAGTGGACTGAGGACTAGATCCAGGTTTGGGGGACACTCATAACTAGGCTTCTATAGAAGAGAGAGGGGGAGCTAGGGAAGAAGTTGGATGTATGAAAATTCCACTTCTGTATCCTTGCCAACCCTTGGTATGGTCAAGGCTTTTCATTTCATCCATTCTAATAGGGTTGTAGTAATATCTCATTATGGTTTTAATTTGCATTTCCCCAATGACTAATGATTTTAAGCATAGTTTCCACCCACCCATATAACTTCTTTGGTGAAGAGTCTATTCAAATCTATTGTTGCTCATCTTAGAAAATTGGGTGGTTTTCTTATTACTCTGTCTTGAAAGTTCTTTATGCATTCTAGATAAAAGTCCTTTATTTAGTATAGGCTTTGTATATAATATTTTCTTCCAGTTCAAGGTGTGTCTTTTCATTGTAGTAACAGTGTCTTGAAAAACAGATACTTGTAATTTTGGTGAAGTCCATTTTACTGATTTTTTTAACTATAGGGCTGTGCTTTTATGTTATTGTTAAGCCTTTGTCTAACTCAAAGTCACATGAAAAATTTCTTCTGAATGTTTTATAGTTTTAAATTTTACCTTTAGGTCTGTGTTAATTTTTGCATATGGTGTGAGATGGAATTTAAAGTTATTTTTTTCTTTAACATGGATATCATATTGTTCCAGCATAACTTGGTCAAAAGACCTTTTTTCATTGCATCTTTGTCAGAATCATTGTTTCATATCTGTATGGGTCAGAGTGCCAATTCTGAGGGAAGAAGTAAAAGTTGGCATAAAATTCCACAAAAGCCAAGGCAAGTTGGCTCAAACATTTATGAAGTATGTGTTGTTGCTAGATGAAGTACCAGGCACTGGGGATAGAAAGAATTAAAGAGTGCAAGTTGATTGAACCGATGATTGAAATATGGTATAAGAGACATGGGTTTCCGTGAAAATACAGGGCTGTGGAGCTTGGTCAGCCTGAAGCTTGGTTCAGGGAAGGCTTCCTGGAGGAGGGACACTTCACTACTTTTACCAAGTAGAGATGAGCAGGAAAGCAGAATGTAAGGAAAGAGAGAGGGGGTGGTCTTGTCTGCCATGCCAAGGAATTCCATGTATTCTGAAGGCAAAGCCTCTTTAAGCAGGGTTAAGACTGCCAAGTGATCACTCTGGCAGCTATATGACCCAGGAGTGCTAGGATGGTAGTGTAGGAAACTAGGCAAGAGTAAGAGGTTGCAGATAGGGCTGGTGGAATGACTCAGGTGGTAGGGTGCCTACCTAGCAAGTTTGTAAGCCCTGAGTTCAAACCCCAGTACCACTAAAAAACAGCAACAAAAAAAAAAAAAGAAGAAGAAGAAGAAGAGGTTACAGATAAGTAACTGAGTGAAAGGACAGAGGAGGACAGAGGTGTTAGCATGAGAGAGAGAAATAGACTGATTGGAGAAATACTGAGGGAGTGGAACCAGAAGAGGCTGAGGACTGGTTTTGAGGGTGAGGAGTTAGGGTGAGGCACAATGCTGCCATTTACTAAGCATGGGAAAATGGCAGGAACCATAGAGGAGGGAAGTGGGTGAGTCTAGTCTGTGTCTTGATCAGCTTAAGATGCTCTTTGACATTTACCTGGAGACATCAGCTGGCTGTTGGAGATGTGTATTACATCCCCAAGGAGGAGGCTGCAAACAAGAGAGATCACTTAGGAAATAAAGCCAGAAGAGGGCTCTGCAGAAAGCCTGGGAATCCATCCATATTAAAGGACAAGCAAAAGAGTGTACCTGCAGGAATGGCCAGAGAATTAGGAGAGCCCTAGGAGAGTATCTTCATGGAAGCCAAGGAGGTTGAGGGCCTCAGGACTCTCAGATGCACACGAACACTGGTCTAGGAGCAGCCTAACAGAATGGTCCAGCAACTCACAGGCTTGAACCAGGATGCCACTGAAAGCTGTCTGATTTTGGGCAAGTTGATTAACCTGTCCCTTTCTCACTTGTCTCATCTGTCAAACAGAATAGTACATTGTAGGCTGTGTGAGGATTAAATGAGATATATTTGATGATCTTAGAACAACATCTGGTAGTCATAAACAATAATGCCAGCAAGCCATATAATTACACAAGCAATCAAATGTGTCCACCAATTTTCTCAAACTGGTTGTTGATGTTGATTTTGTGTGCAGCTTAAGTGAGGTGGTGTGGACAGAAAGCAGGTTGCAGTGGGTTGAGGAGAATTTGGATGAAACTGAATTCAGCAAACACTAAGGAACCAATGGAGAAGCCTGGCTTGAACTGAAGGTGGAAGGGCCAACCAGAGAAGACATGCTGTCAGTGTAGTTATTTTAGGGTCTTCATGGGACCTTGACCATGTTTAAGTATAGGGAGACAAGCTGGTTTGGGAGTGACTGAAGACAAAGGAGAGAAGGGAGGTGGACTGTGACAGAAAGAGCAGGGCAGGCCCAGTGGGGCTCACCAGAAGAGGGACCTTTGTTCTCTGCACCTGCTAGGAAAGTGTTGGGAGCTCAGAGTCAAGGCACTTCCCTGAGGGTGGCCTTAGAGTAATCAGTTTGTGGGTCAAGAATGGGGAATGGTGCTGGGCAACAGCTAGAGGTGAAGGTTCATGTAATAGGTTGAATTGTGCCCTTGAATTCGTATGTAGAATTCCCAAACCCCAATGCTTCAGAATGTGGCTGTATTTCAAGAATATCTTTAAGGAGGTAATGATGATTTTCAAATGAGATCATTAAGGTGGGTGGGCCCTATTCCAGCACAACTGTTGTCCTCATAAGAAGAGATTAGGACACAGACAGACACAGAGGGAAAAGACAGAGGGAGGAGATGACCATTGACAGGCCAAAGACAGAGGCCTCAGATGAAACCAACTCTGCTACACTTCAATAATTCCAGGCCTCCAGTCTCCAGAACTGTGAGAAGCTAAGTTTCTATTGTCAAAGCCACCCTTTGTTGTGGCTGCTCCAGCCTGTGAATGCAGTCTATGACATGAGAAGGAGCTGGCTGGGTGAGACCTGGGGACAATGATGCCCAGTGTGGGACACTAGGTGAAGAAGAAAGTGTGTGACCCATAGGTGGTACAGGAATGCATGGTGGTGACCCCCAGTGGGAGGGATGACCAAGAACAAGGGGAGAAGGGAAGGCACTGAGAGGACAGAACTAATGGAGGAGCTGGTGTCAGGTGAGTGTTTGGGCTGGGGCTGTGGACCCATAGTTGGAGAGCCAGCATGGGTCAGCCGGGGAGCAAAGCTAACCAGCTCCCAGGGCTCAAGCAATTCCTTTTTCTTGTTAGCACAGAGCTGATACAGACTAGCCAAACAGCCGCAGGCAGTGTTACAGAACCTGCCCATAAAGACTCTTCAGTAAAACCTCTTTATTCCCCCCTTAAAGAGCTGAGAGTTATTGAAAGGACTGGAATCTTCAGCAGTGAGCCTTAGAGAAACCCTGGGATTAAGGAGGCTGATTTTTCAACTGAGGGGCTGCTCCTGGGCTGTTGAGAATATGTGGAGGGAGAGCAAGGCCCATTTCAGTTTGTGCAGGTGAGCAGAGAACAAGAGGACACAGCCAGCCTCAGGTTCCCTAGAGGCTTTGCTGGGTCGTTGGTCCTGCAGACCATGCCCAGGGGCTGCCATCAGTCATCAGATCATCCACTGCTGGCACAGCATCCCTGGGTACCATATCCCCATATCTGCTGTAGGGGATGAAAAACCAAGGGCCTTATACTGTTTATGTACTCAGTAGCTATTCATTGCAAGCCACTGTGTGTTCACAATCATGAAACAGGTCATGTGTGGTCTGTACCCTCAGTTGTCTAGGGAGAAAAGCTAGGTTACAAATAGGCACAAATTCAGGGAGCTCAAGGGAATGGGAAATAATTTAGGCTGGGGAATCTGGAAAGACATGGTGGAAGGTGGGATTACTTTGAGCTTCTAAGGTATAAGCAGCTGAGGACACACACAGGTACAGATGGACAGGTATGCCCTATCCAAGGGGCTGGGAAGATGTCTGGAAGAGGAGGATCTGAGGGAGTAGAAGAGGCCTGGCAGGGAAAGGAGGGAAAAGGAAGGGACAGTGTCAGCAAAGTCATGGGGAAGGAACATAGGCCAGTCTATGTTCCTTCAGTCATCATGGGGAGTTGAAAGGGTTGCTGTGGCCCCCAAAGATGAGAAGAAGTCAGACTGTGGAGGGCCTGAGGCACTTGTAGACTCTCGATTGGGACCCGGACTTCAGACTGAAATAAGGAGGTCCTGAGGTCTTTGAGCAGGTCAGTGGCCATGCACTTGCTCCTGGTTAGTCCTAGCAACACTCTTTAGGGATAAGCTGGAGACTGCTGCAGTGGTTAGAGCCAGAGGGCCCCAGGGGAGGCACCCTCTCCAGAGCACACAGGCCTGCTATGAGAACAGGGGAAGAGCTTGGGGGTCAGGATGGGCACAGTCAACAGGCCGCTCTTTGCTTGGCATCAGCCTCTGATCTCAGCAAGAACTGGTCAGAGAACACAGTGGTAGGAAAAGGCACAAGGTGAATGCAAAGGACCCTGGCCTCCTGACATCAAGAAGGCATGTTGAGTTGACCTGGGTTGGAGGAATCATGGAGCATTGAGTCCCTCTGACTGGAAAGAGGGGTGGGTCCTGGTTCCTGCACAGGTCTCACCAACCTCAGCCCTGTCCTTGTTACAGCCCAGAACTCCCAGCTTCACCGTGGCTGCTGTTTGACTTCTGTGCAGAGCAGTCCCTAGGGCTGGAAGATATGCTGGCTCATACTGTTCCTCATTTGGCAGTGACTGGGAACTCTGAACATTCTGGCCTAGCCGGGCAGCCAGGCCTGAGGGACATGCACGGGCCAGGAGCATCCGCTGCACATTAAGTCTTGAGCATGCTGCTCTCCTCCATCCATCTGGCCCCTCTCCTGGGACTGCTGAAGAACAAGTGTGCTGTTTGGTAAACGCCTGTTGGGGACATGTTGATGTCCCATGAGAGCCTAAGCCTCTTTGGCGTCCATGGCCCCATTTTCACCCTAATTACCTTGATCCAAGTGTGTTTGATGCCAGCCAACCACCCAGTCAAGTCTCTTCCCAGCCATAAGTTAATCGCTGTCTTGAACTAAAACCTTAATGAAAAGTGTTACCCAGAATGGTGGGGGGAGTAGGGAGGGTAGGATTTTGGATCTTAGCAACTACCTGCCAAATAGGTCCCTGCTAAATCAAACTTGTGGGGAGGGAAAGGAAAGAGGGGTGCAGAGGGACCTACAATTCCTTTACTATAAGATCCCACCTCCCTATTCCCCCTGCCTATTAACCCATGTCACAGAGCATCCAGAGATGCTCTGTGAGTTGATTGTATTGGACATTACATGGCTGGCTGGGATCCTACACATCTGGGTTTCTATAAACACATTGTCTTAATCAGCTCAGGCTTCAAAGTGAGACATCACAGGCTGAGTGGTTTAACAGTAGAACTTTATCGCTTGCTATTCTGGAGAATGGAAGTCCAAGATCATGGGGATGTCCAGTGTGGTTTGTGGAGAAAGAGAAAGAGGTGTGGGGGAAGGGGAGAGGGAGCAAGAAAAAGAGAAAGCTCTTTTGAGAGGAATACCATGAGATCAAGAACCAGCCCACACAATCTCATTTAACCTTAATTACCTCCTGAAGGCCTTATTTCCAGTTGCACACATTGCGAGTTAAGGCTTCAACACAACAAGGGGAACCCAGTGAAGACCATAACATACATCCTGAACGTGTCCTTTGCAAAAGAAGAGAGAACAGATGGAACCAATTGGCTCTGGAACAGACCCTCAGATGTGTGTTCTTGTAATTGTGCCTTTTGTGTACTGGTGGGGCAGGGGAAAGTCCAATGTGACACCCAAGTCCAAACAAGGAGGAAAGGTTTGTTTTTATTCATGGTTTCTGTCCATAGTTGCTTGACCCTGTTGCTTTTGGGCCTGTGGCAAGCAATACATTATGGTAGAAGGTGCATGGCAGAGGATGCTGCTCAGTTGTGGCTAGGATGTGCGTGGCGGGGGAGGGGATTTCAATACTCTCTTCAAGGGCACGCTTCCAATGACCTAACTTCCTTCCACTAGACCCCACCTCCTTAAGGTTCAACACCTCCCACTAGCACCATGGACTGGGGACTAATCCTTTAGCTTATAGCTGTCTGGGGGACATTTAAGATTCACACCATAATAGGCATTTTGAGAGATTATGTTATTAATTTATCTTAGACAGGTGATTTGTTGAATATCTACTAGGTTGTAGACAGAAAGTTGGTAACAGCGAGCTCACATGACACAAAGGGAAATATTTTAGACTGCCTCTAGTCTAAAAATCTCACTAGGGTTTGGAGGGGTAGAGTGAAGGAAGCAAAGAAATTATGTGGGAAAAATTCTGTTCAGGGTCCACCCTGTTACTGTTAGTTCTCAGAGTTCATTTGCCTTGGTAACACTTCCTTCACAGTGCCTACAAGGCTCACGTATCCTTCCTTTTTACGAGAAGGAAGATGAACCATGGCTCAGGATGCAGGGTGTGAAGTCAGGGCAACCTCAGACCACCTCCTTATCTGGTGCTCACCAGCTCTGAGAATGTGGGAAGGCCATCAGATTTCTCTTACTGGCAATTTCTGGTCTCCACGTAAAGATAAGACACCCACCTCACAGAATTGTTCTAGGATTGAGACTGAGTCCACTAAGCAATTACACCAGCATTGTCACTGAATGAATGCATACCAATTAATATAAAACTCATGTGTCATGGATCCAGGGTCTCCTTCCCATGACTCAGCTGGGTGGCGCTGCCAAATCCCGACATTCTGGATGTCTCGTTCTCTTGCCATAGGCCACCCTAATCATCTCTATTGTGTTTTTGACTGTGAAACATTTTTCCCTACGTCAAATCTTATATGCAACCCCAATATCCATCACTGATGGATTTGTGGAATTGTGATCATCAAAGCAGGCATGGGGATAGACACACCAAGACAGCTTCCTGTCTGTTTCTAGAAGGAGCTCTAGTAGTCTACCAAGGAACACCTTTTGAGGCCCGTTGTCCTACTAGTTACAAGGTCATCTTGGTGCAGCACAGGGTACTGTTTTGGTTTCCATTTCATTCTGGTCTTGCTCCCTGAGGTTACCTTGGAGGAGGTTTAGGTGTCTCCAGGCTTGTCAGTTACACAGTGACAGTCCTTTGTCACCACTGCAGGTGGATAATGGACTCAGGTATGCCTGGACTTTGCTAGGTAATTCATAGAGGCCCACTTTATTGCCTAGATCTTGGGATGTGTCTCTGTTGGCCAATGTATAGCCCTCTGCACAATAATAATTATTATTCAATGAGGTTGTACATATAAATAAATCCACAAATCAGGAAAAATGCTTTGTAATATTCTGGGTCCTGGCTTTTGATGTGTGAGATGTTGACAGTAAGCATCAGAATGATGTACAAAAAAGACATCATAGAACCTGGACCTCTCTGTCGACCCCTGCCACAGAGATTCAGGGGCCACTTGTCAACAGAGTTTGTCTGGCTTGATTTCCCATGTTTCCTTCAACTTCTGAACAATGGGTTTGATATTTCTTTTTCCCTATAATGGCTTTATTGAGAGGTAATTCTCATATCACATAATTCACCCACCTAAAGTGTCCAATTCAGTATTTTTACTACACTCACAGAGTTGTGCAACCATCACCATAATCAATTTTAGAACATTTTCCTCACCCCCAAAAGAAGCACCCCCTACTCATTAGCAGTCACTCCTCATGTTCCACAAAGTCTCCCAACTCTAGACAACCATAAATCTGCTTTCTATCTCTGTGGATTCACCTAGGCTGGATATCTCCTATAAATAGAATGAGTCAATTTGTAGTCTTTTGTGTCTGGCTTTCACTCAGCATAATGTTTTCAAGGTTCATCCATGCTGTACACATATCAATACTTTATTCCTTTTTATTGTCAAATCCACTGCATAGAAAAAACACATTTTACTTATCCATCAATTGATGGACATTTTGGATGGTTTCCACTTCTTTGCAGTTATGAGAAATGTTGCTCTTACATGTGTGTGTGAAAGTTTTCCTGTGTAGATTTTTTCATATTTGTAACTTACCCTCTCAAGAGAATTAGGGATCTCAGGAGCTAGATTTATTAAGTGCCTACTGTGTGCAGGATACTGTGTTGCGCACATACCATCTCATGTAATTTTCATGTAGCTGAAGGTGTAGTTTTCCTCCTTTTCCAAGTGAGGAAACTGAGGTTTGAACTCAGTTTCAAGTGGTGGAACTGGAACCCAAACTCAGTTCTCTGTGGTACCATAACACTTATCTTTCACACTCCTCCAAAAAGCTGATTGTCATACTGGTTAAGCCCATATGATAGGTCACCTACCTACACTGCTTGAATTGAATCCTCACACCAACCTGTGAGTTAGTCGTACTATTACTACTGTCTAAAACAGTTCAGAGGGCTAGAGGTGTAACTCAAGTAGCACAAGGCCCTGAGTTCAAACCTCAGTATCACTGAGAGAGCGAGAGAGACAAGACAGAGTGACAGAGAAAGAGAGAGAGAGGTTCAGAGAAGCTGCATAGCTTACCTGGGTGACATGGATCATGGGCGTCACAGCCTGGGTACCAGTATTCAGCAGTGTCCTGCAGCTGCTCCTGGCCCCACAGCTCTCCCTTAAAAACCCAGTTTTCTCTAGCCTTCTCTCACCTCAGAAAGAGTTTCTTATATGCCTAGAATTCCATTTTCAAAGGGCAGCACACATGTACCTGCCTGTATGCACTTAGACATGTATCCAAGGGTGTCACCGTGCCTGGGACCTCAGACAGATAGGACCCCTTGTGACCCTCTGTTGGCATTGCAGGGTTCCTGAGGTATATGCCCACTGTAAAATTCACTGCTACATCTGCCTGAAAGCCAAGACCCTGAAGCACATAGAGAACTTGCACTGGGACAAGTTCTGAAATTGTCAAGGTGGACAGAAATGTGGGAAGCTACCTGGAAGAGAAAGATGGAAGTGGGGGGAGGCTGGAGAAGAGGAAGGGGATTGGTAGCATGTGGCAATACCAACTGTCTCCATGTGGTTGCCTGCCCACAGCTGCTATCTTGGACGACCCCATGGAATGCAGCAGAGGGGAGCGGCTGTCCATCACCCTGGCCAAGAACCGCATCAACCGCGCTCCTGAGAGGCTGGGCAAGGCCAAGGTCGAAGTGGACATCTTTGAACTTCTCAGAGACAGCGAGTACGAGACTGCAGAAACCAGTACGTAGAATGGACAGGGCTGGTGGAGGACAAACTGTGATGTGAGCCACACCCACTGCCAGGCCTCTGTTACAGATATCCCTAGGGGAGGGAGAAAAACATGTGCCAGGAGACTCTCTGCCTGGAATACACTCCCAGTTTTGCTGTCAATTACGTGTACAATAGAATTAAGACAGAATGCTCATTCATTCATCTACTCATTCATTCATTCCCTCATATAAACTGAGTCATTCATCTCCTGCACATTTTGTACACCTGAATGAAATCTTATGCATGATTAAAAAAGAACTGAGGCCAGCCTAAGGGTAGCTTAGCCATTGCCCAGCTGACAGTCTTGCTTTTTCTGTGCTAAGGGCAGCATTGTGGGCGGAAACTGGGACTTGGGATAGAGTTTGGCCTTAGATAAGTCATTTAGCCGACCTCTGCCTCAGTTTCTCCATCTGTAAAATGGATGTGCTGGGTTCTACTTTTCAAATCTTATGAGTTGTTGTGAATTTAAATTACTTAAAATATAGGAGAAAGCTCTGTGAATTGTTTTACAGATATACATATTAGGTCACTCAAGTGACACATAAGAGAAGCCTCGTATGTACTGGGTACCACTTTTAGTTCTAACAATAGTCTGAGAATGGGGTGCTATTTCCTCTGTTTTAGAAAAGAGACTGAGATTTAAAGACACTGAATAATTTGCCTGACCACAGCACTAGTCAAGGACTGAGCTGGTCCTGGCTCTGGCAGACCCAGTGCACAATCTATTCTACCTCTCTATGCTCCTCTGGCATTTTGCTGGTATTACCTTGGCGACTTTATAAACTCCCACCCAAGTGAGTGGGCCAGCATCTTGTAGCTAAGATGGAAGTAAACAGTTCCAGTGTAGAAGGATGGTGAAATGCTATGTTAGTCAACTTCCTGCCACTCTTACAAAGTACTTGAGGTAATCAAATTTCAAAGAGGAAAGGTTTACTTTGATTCATAGTTCTGGAAGTTTTAGTCTATGACTGATTGGCCCCATTACTTTTGGCTTGTGGAGAGGCAGAACGTCACAGAAGGAGTATGTGATAGAGAGAGTTGCTCACCTTATGGTGACTAGGAAGCAACAAGAGATAGGAAGGGGATGGGCCAGGGTCCCAAGATCCCCTTCAAGCACACACGCCCAATCATCTAACTTCCTTCCACCAGGCCCCACTTACTAAGGGTTTCACACCTCCCAACTTCACCACAGGCTGGTGACCAAGCCTTCTACACGTGGGCCTTTGGGGAACATTCAAGATGCAAACTATGGCCAGGGCTTCTCAGCCCAGGCAGACAATAGTATCTATTCCCTAAGACACTGAAGAGTTCATTTTCTAACCCATTTGAACTTGACACCCAGTGGCAAGAACAAATCAAATTTTTTAAAAAGTGCAACTTGCTTAAGCATTTATGTTCGACATCTGGTTTTCCATATGAGGATCTAGCAGTGCTCTACCCTGGGCTGTTGTAATTGCAAGAAAAGAAACTCACTCACATTGGCCCAAGCACGGCAGGTAGGATATTGTAAGGATCCAGAAAGGGGCAGAGGAAAGGATGGCAGTGGTTCCAGACCTACCAGCCTCTCTTGCTCTCCCAACTTCTTTAATGCTCTCAGATTGGGTCCAGGTTCTTCCCTCTCTGCCTTATTCATCAGGACCTGTCTCATATGGCCGCCCAGACCTGATTCACTTTGTTTATTCTTCCAGGAGGTGTAAGTGAGAACTTAATTTCTAGCATGATGCATTGGGAGCAGTGTTAGAAACATGACAGGACATGGTCCCTGTCCTCAGAGTGCACACAGTAGTGCTGCTCCCTATATCCCTCATACTCTGCATCTCCAACATAGATGATCTGATGGATCCAGCTCGCCTTGCTGAGTGGCCAGTCTCACAAACTATGGGTGTGACTAGACTTTCCTTTGGGACAGTATCCACTCCTTGTCTAGTATTGTCACAGAGGGTGGTTCATACTGTATAGAACAGGGCCATTGAGACCAGTAAGACCTATGGATAAAGATTGCTCCTAAGAGGGCAGAGCAGAACAAGTACCAAAATAGTTGTTATTTATCCTTTCAGTCAGTCAGTCAGTCAGTCAGTCGACCAGTAAATATTTAATGAGTATCTATTGTACCTGATCCTAGGCAATAAAGGTTCAGCAGAGAATACTCAAAAGACCTAGTTGACATGGATGTTCATTTCTAGTATAATGAAAGGAAGACTCCCATTGCCCAAGATCTTCCAAGTAAGATCAGAAGTATGAGCACTGATTTCTTATGAATCTCCTAGACTGGTCTGCAGGGTTTCTTCATCCAGATCTTAAACAAGCCCCTAGATTTCTAACCAGCTCTCTAGTCCATACATTGAAAACCAAGCGCCTCCTTCCTTTTTTTTTCCATTCTTCAGAGCTTCCCTGGCAGAACCAAGTGTGCATATTTGCCCATTGTGGATGACATCATTAGCAGGTGTAAATTTCCTCTCCCGGTGACCTGTGCAGCCTGACTTGGTAATGTCAGTACATCTAAAATATTAAGCCAAATTAATCAGGAGACAAAGGAAGTGGATATCTTTATTTCACGTTGCAGGGCTATGGGCATCTTTTTCTTTTTAGGCACCAAACGTTTTATTAGCAAGTAGTCCTCAGTTCAACTTTTATTGTGTGTTTGAGCCATGATTAGCATTTTGGAGAAAAGAGGGCTTCTGAAGTTTTCTAATCCAAAGGCCTTTCATCTGAAGCCAGGGTCGTCTGTCACAATGGGTTTTAAACACGACGCAGGTGGTTTACAGAAAGGTTCCAGCCCAGCTCTTTCCTTCCCAAAGTAAGGGGGCAGACGGATGGTGGGTTACCATTGTTGGCTGAAGCAGGATGGGGAGGAAGTAGATGTCAGCGGGAGGATTGCCAAAAGAGACAGGATCTCTACTTGTGTAGAGTCTGTGTGGTGTGAAGACTAGGATCATGGATTTCAGAATCAGACTGAGCAGGATTAAATCCTATCTCTACTGTTTATTAGATGAGTGATGCAGGCAGGCTGTTTAACCATTTCATGCCTCAGTCTCCAGTGATGATAATATAACCTCACTGGGTCCTTTGGAGCATTCCATGAGAAGGTGGAAAAGAGCTCACTATGATGCACAGAGTGGCAGCTATGGCTTTTGCTGTTGGCTTTTTCCTCACCCTGTAACAGTTGACCAGCTTCCTCCAGCTCTCCACATCATCTCCCCTCTCCTCTGCTTCAAGGTTTGGCCACGCCCACATGGCAGCATGATCTTCTCTGGTGGGTTAGTTAATGTCAACATCCATCATAATTGGAAAGTCTCCTTCTCTTTCCACTTTCCTGAATTTGATGAATCTGACAGCTTTGAGCCTTCACAAGTTGTGATGGGCTACCTCATGCCAGCTGCTGCTCAGTGTCACAGCCTGAGTTTTCCCTGGGATAATTTGCATTGTTAATTAAAAAATATGCCAATGGCTTTGGGGTCCCCAGTCAACTCTTCCAACCCCACACCTCTCACCCTGGGGCCAGGGACTCTGCTTCAAGATGAAAGAGAATAGTAATGATAGAAAGTAGAGGCTATGATTGAAGTTGGGGTTGTGCAGTCCAGCAGGGTACAGTGTGCCTTATTTTCAGCAATAGATGGGTTTCCAAAAACTCTGCACACATCACACTTAATGAATCACATGCAGGGTGGGCCAGTCAGTCCAGAGCAGCAGTGGTTTATTTCAAGAGTTGAAGATGTGGAAGTATAAAGAAGGTCATGACGCTGGAGTCTAGAGGTCACCCCCTCTTCTGATGGTGGAAAAGAGGCTCAGAGATGGAAGGCATCACACAGGGCATTAATTAACAGTCAACTTGAAAATGGGAAAGATACGATTAGAAAATCAACCCCCATTCTGTCTAGTTCAAGTGAATTTTCATACAGTGGGTTTAGTTAAAGTAAGGGTCACTTGTAAAGCTTCCTCCCACCCCCATGGGACTCCTCCCTCTCTGTCCTTTTACCACTATTGCCTCAGGCTTCTAGATGTTTGACTCCAACTCCCTCTACAACACGGCCCACAGATCTGAAATGAAAGGAATGGACAAGACCTATTAGGCCACCTCCCCTCCCTGCTCTGTCTTCTTCCCTTATCTTCATCTTATCTTCATCGCAGCCTTTCTTTTGCAGAAAGCTCCCATAAGGCTCGCCCTCCTCTTCTATAGATCACTGTGTCTCCTGCAGCAAATGTATTAGAGCTTAACTAAGCACCACCCCTTTACCACCCAAATAACCCGAGGCACCATCCCTGCTGCTGCCAGAGCCAGTTTGAGGCTTAATTTACTGCAGAGCTAGAAGCAGGGGCCTCACTGTTAACCCTTTGCCTTTGCCTCTGTTTGTCTTCATGAGGCGAAGCATGCCATCAGCCAGCCATGTTGTCTTCCCTTAACACCCAGAAGCACACTGGTTACAAGGCCTTCTCACTGCTCCAGTGAGCCTAGTGTGGAGCATGGTGGGTATGTGATGTTCTGGCCCTGAGGGGTGGCTCTTGCTTCATAGGCTCCTGAACTTCTGGAAGGCTCTGTGGTCATGACCTGCTGTGATTCAGAGCTGCCTTTAATAAGTGAGGGTTAGCATCCCTCCATCAGCTTAGTAGAATAAAAAGAAAAAAAGAGAAAAGAATAAGCTGGAAGACAAAGGCACACAAATAGTGATGAGTCATTCAACAAACCTTCCTTGCTCCCCTTCTCTGAGTTACCCACATCACATATGCATGATAGGGACTCAGAAATGCATTGAATTACAGAATTTAGAAATCATTAGGTCCAAAACCCTCACTTTACACCTGGGGAAACTGAGGCTTATGATCTTTTCCAGGAAGAGTTAAGGCCCACACATCCTCAAAGTGAGGTACATACTAATGGTCTCCTGAGGGTGTGTCAGGGAGTGCCTTGGAACTAGGACACATAAGGTGGTCAGGTGAGGCCTCTGGACCAGACCTTGGAATGTCAGACAGGT